TTTCAATAAATTTTTATTGAAAAAGATTAAATTACTTTATTTTTAAACATGCATTAAGGTGATTTTTGTTCTTTTTTCTTTTAATTTTTTTGGAAGTAAGGTGAACAAGCACTAACTCTTATATATATATATATATATGCCCCTGAAAGTGGTAGAAGAGGATTACCATGGAGGCAATGATCTGAACACCGGCATACTTGATATCCCAGCTGAACTCCTTGATGGCCCAAGTGATCCCACCAAAGTCTTGGGCATTCTCTAAGCCATAGTTCAAGTATTCCTCCTTGTCGGTGGCTCTGTAGAGCCACAAAGCTGCCCATAATAGCTCATCTTTGTACCCACTCACCGACTGATAGTAACCCTTGACGACCTCAATGCTTTCATCATACTTGCCTCTGTACTTATCCCCAAATTCAAACAACTAACACAAAACGGAAAGATTCAATCAGAAAGTTGAAGTTGCAAAATTAGCGGATGCATTTACAAATATGTCACTTTTCTAGCCAATCAAAACTGACTTATTTCACTTTTGTCTGAATTGAAAAAGAGAATTTTTAATAGATTTGGAACAACTTGAAAGAGAAATTTTTTTAATAAAATAGGCCATGAAATTAAATTATGCAGACTTTTTTTTTTTTCAATTTCTAGCTTATAATTATACCATGATATCATTTTTGCCAAAGAAAAAAAAAATACTAACCAGATTAAACGAAGAAAAAGAACATCTTGATAGTTAAAATGAAAAAATTAAAATACCCTTTATAAGTTAATACACAAAAAAATTCATTGAATATTTAAATAATATTTAAAAAAATCTTGATATTTAAAATATTAAAATATTTTCATTTTCATTTTTCTCAACTAAATAATTAAAATAATTAGAATATATATATAACTTTTGAACATAGGGAAATTTTAGAGAATGGGGAATTCTTTCAAATCATTGTTGAGAGTGAATTTCTAACCACTTGACCCGAGCTCTTAAATTCGAAGATAAACCATTAGCCTCATTGATCAATTGGTTTTAAAATAATTAGAATTAGTTAAATGCTTCCAAATAATTTTAATTGCACCGAACAAAGGCCAAAGCAGAACAGTTCACTCTTCTTGTTGGTGAATGGTCCAGTTCAGATCTACCGAACATGTTTCAAAAACAAATTCATTAATTGACTAATAGACTTACTTGTTCTGCATGGCGTAATAGTAGGTGAGAATAACGTTGGTTTGTTTTTCTAAACACCATGGATGCGGCCGCCATGGCTGCCGCAGTCTCAGCAGCGACTTCTGACCCGGGGTTCTCCTCGTCCACCTTGTAGGCTTGTCGTGATGTTGTCATGTCCTCTGGCCGCTGCCAACAGTAGTGGTCGGAGTCGCCGTCTCCAACCTGTGCCCACAGGACATTGGGATGAGTATGAGCTTTGATGAAATAATCCGTTCCCCACTTGATCGCCTCCAGTGCGTGGTGGTATTCTCCGGCAAAGGCGAGTTGGTCGCCGTATTGGAGGACACCCCACGAGAGCATTGTGATTGTGAAGGCCATTGGGAGACCGAATTTCATGTTGTCGCCGGCATCATAGTATCCTCCGACCAAGTCCACCTACACAAATGAAATACACGAAAACTTCACTAAATTCAAACCACGGGGCCTCCTATATGGCCTTTAGAAAAGACTTGGTCTGATCAAAGAAGGAAAATAATTGAGGGGAGTAGGTGAAAAGGAAAATGAAAATGGAGTTTACTCCTTGATCTAGGCCGTCGGTAAGGGCGGAGTGGTGGCGCCAAGTGATTCTTTGGTGGTAGGGTAGGTGGCCGGAGCGCTGAGATTCGAAGTAAAGGAGGCTTTTTGAGAGAGCTTCGCCGTAGTTGAAAGACTGGCATGATGATAAGGGTAAGAGGGAAATGAAATGGAGGAGAACTAACCCTTGACAGCATAGCAAAATCTTAGCAACTGGATTTTGAATTAAATGCTTCCTCTCCTCCATTGAACCTCCTCTTCATTCTGTCTCTAGCCCTTTATATATATAATATTTATAGTACGAAAAACTTATTTTACAATTATTACTGTACTAAACTATAAAATAAAGATGGTTAAATGAGAATGAGTCTCCAATATTGAAAAGAATAAGCCTCTCACTTCATCTATAAAAATTAAATAGATGAATTTTAACACAAGATTGGTTAAATATTCATTTTAGTCTCTTAACTTTATCAATTTACATATTTTTGGTCCCTAAAGTATTTTGTGCATATTTTTAATCCTTCAATTTTAAGAAATGCACAACGTTGATCCTTCTGTCAATTAGAGTTGTTAACTCCTCCCACATGACATTTTTTATATTTTTTTTATGACATGAAGAAGACAACTTAAAAATGTGCTAATCTGGACATTTTTTTTATGACATGTCCTAACGCCAACTCATATACCAAATTAGATTAGCATTTATATTTTTAATAAAAAAAAATAAAAAACTACAAATTTACTTTAATACCTTTGTCTCCCTTTCTTGATCCATCTTCTTCCTTTCTTTCTTCCTCATCTTCCTCTTCTTTCTTTCTCTTCTTCCTCGGTGTTGTTAGGTTCCCACAAACCCAGCTGATTTGGGTTCAAGGGAACCCAGCTCGAGTTCGATGGAACCCATCTGCTAGGTTCCTCGAATCTAACAAACTAGGTTTCATTGAACCTAGATCTGCTGGGTTTGGTGGAACCCAGGTTAGGTTTCGTCAAACCCAGATCTGTTGGGTTTGGTGGAATCCAGATTAGGTTTCGTCAAACCCAGATCTGCTAGGTTCGGTGGAACCCTGTTGGGTTTCGTCAAACCCAGACCTGCTGGATTCCTCAAACCCAACAACTAGGTTCCACCAAACCCAGCTCCACTTTTTTTTTTTTTT